TCACTGTTTGATAGCATCACCTCCTCTGCTTTCCCAGAAATTATTCCTCGAAGTATGACTCGAATCGTTCCTGTGTTGGGAGATGTCTCAGTTCAGAGCTGACTTTCTGCCCTGCTTGTTTACTAAAAAATGGTAACACTAGCAGTTGAGAAGTGGCATAAGCAGGTGGAAAAAACCAAGGGTGTGGAGTCAGGGGGCCTGTGAGTGAGTTTGGGAGCTGGTTCTAGAGGCAAGTGAGCTTGACCCTTGTAGATTGGAAGATAGTGATTTCTACACAAAGGATGTGTTGTGACAGGGCTTTGCAAGTTGCGGTGCTGGGCAGAGTATAATAAAGGTGAGGGAGGACAGGGACTTGGATCCCATGTATCTCTGGCACTGTGGCCTCTTCTTGCTCGTGTGTGTGTGTGTGTGTGTGTGTGTGTGTGTGTGTGTGTGTGGTGTTCTAGAATGTTGTGGTCAACAGCAACAGCGTCTGCTGTCTTTGTGGTTCTACCCTGGTTTGTGCAAGCATGACAGCTGTGGGATCAGAGTCACTTTAGGCTCAATCAGTTTTTATCCCACTGTATTATTCTGGGAGAATTTTTCAATTTATACACCTTCATGTTTTCAGACCCCATTGCAAACTGGGGACAAAAATAAACTCAGCTTTGCCTGTATGGTAGCAGGTGAAGACCCTTTGTCAGCTGTACTGAGCTCCTTGTAATTTTGGGTCCTATTTTCTTTTTTAATCTCCCTGTTGGTAGGTAGTTGCTAAAGGGCCTCTTAGAGTTCAAAAAGATCCACTGGATCAGGAGAGGAAATAGGAGCTTGCAGAGGAAATGAATTTCCAAGAGCCTTGGAGTGAATTGGAATCCTAAGATCCATGCCCAGCTTTGTCACAATGTCAGATCCCTTCAGTGTGAACATGATTTTCCCCTGCCTAGAACCATCATGGAGGGAAACAGGAACATCTGGAAGGGATGTCACCACTCCTAAGCCTTGAGGAGGGTGGGGAAAATCTTTCTGGTGAGAGATGCTACAGGTATGGCGGCTTCCTTTCCATCCCCTCTCCCCCAGTAGGAACTTGTTCCTTGGGTATTTATTTGGTTTTTGAATGAGTCAACTTACTTGTGACCCAGAGGACCCTGTGGTGTGTGCTTCATGCTGGAGTTCGTCAGAAGACAAAGCAGCTTGTCCTGACCCCAGAGCCCATTTACTCTGCAAGGGTGAGAGAGAGTCTTCACTGATCTTCAGTTTTTCTATGGCAACTTTTAGAGAACAACTATGAACAACTTTTGGAGTAATCTTTCTCTTACTGCTTTATAGGTTTGGTATGGAAATCAAAACAAGCACTTTCTTTTGTAAGTAATATTGTAATATTTAGACCCCATGGCTTTATGATTTAAAATGTTCCATTGACTTCTCCATTCCTTTCCCAAAGATAAAGTATGGATGCTGACAAAAAGAAGCAGTTTAACTCCTGAAGGCAGTTGGCAAGAAGGCTGTTCTGTTTTTACTTGGTGTCTAAGGTCCCTGGATTTAAACCTGGACCACTTCAAATGTAGGTTGAGGATGCAGAGTGAGATGAAATCATATAATCTAAGCACAAGTTCGAGAATCTCAGGTTCCCAGCAGCCTCACATCTGTCTCGACTTCTAATAATCAATTCTTCATCAAGCCCTACCTTTTCATTGCAGCTGCTGCAGATATGTTTGTCATAGGGACTTAATTCTTGGGCTTCAGAAGGGCCTCATGTCAGAACCCGAGGTCTGGCAAGGTCGCACACGTTGAGGGAATGGCAGAATCCACACTAGAAGCCAAATCTTTGGATTCTCAATTCACTGCTCTTCCTGACATATCACTCTTCCCTCCTGTCAGGTGAAGAGTGAAGCCAGATGGTTTGACAAATGGTTCTTGTTGCTGTCAAATCTGCCTTCTCTTTCTGCTCTGACAGACAGTTCTTACCTTCTCTTTCTTGGGGGGAGGGCTAGAGAGGTGGGTGGTGAGAGAGGGAGGGAGGTGGATGAAAAGGAAAAAACATTTCTTTGCCCCATTCTTTATGTGGTAGAGATGGGCAATAAGCTCTTGTTTCTCTGGCAAGAAACAAAGTGAAGGCAATGAGTAATCGTCACCTTGAATTTAAAGCTCACAGAGGCCTAGAAATGGCAGGCTATGTTAGGAGACAACAGTGATTTCATATATATTCATCTTAAAAAAAAATGTTTAAGATGCCATATCCATAAATACTAATAAGGCTGTCTGATTCCAATTTTCAGGTAAGATTAGCATTTTATTGAGTATTTTATCTGTCAGATTCAATACTCGATGTACCATCCTCCCCGGCTTATTAGCATAATTGCTGTGCTTAAGCAACAATAAAATATTCAGCAGTAAAATAGCAGTTAGTGCAGGCAATTTGTTATCAAAAGCTTTTACTTAAGGACAGCTCCAGCCTGCATTTATTAGCAAGTTAGGGTTATAATTTATTTTTATTTGGAAAAACAAAAAGAGAGAAAAAGATTTTGCTTTTTTGTTTTGAAAATAATAGAGAAATTAGAAAGCATTGCCTCTCCGGAAAATTGTGCCCATCCCTTGTTCCTGCACTGAAAGCAGGCAGGCTGTGATGGAAATAGATTCCACTTGAGGCTCGTTGGCTCAGACACGGAGGCACTCTCCCAAGGCATTGGAACCAGCGAGTGGTAAGGTCCCTTTTTGTTTGTACAGACATCTCTAAAACACTTGCAGATCTCTGTTATTGCTTAAATCTCACACTAGTTCTGTGAGGTCTCCATTCTTAGAAACCGAAAAATGAACTAAAATGACTTGTTCCAGAAGAAGCAGCTGGGTGGCACAGCCAAGCTACAGGAGCTCATCTTCCCGCCTCCTGTCCCATCTCAGTGTTGTGCAGCTGCCCAGAAGTCCAGGAGGCACTGGGCTCCTGCCTGAGGAGGTGGAAGGAGGTCCACCTGGCCTTTAGCATAAAGTCAGATATGCACTGTGTACACATACACATATCACACACCCGCGTGTACGTATATGTCAGTATATATAATGTGCATCCATATACACAGTCATGCATATATTGTTTTCTTAACATATAACTACTTGCTTAATTGTGTAATTTATTTCCCTTTGGCACTCTAGTTGCAGCAATTCAGCCATATGAATTTCTTCTGACATCAAATGTCCTCCATCTCTTACCTTGAAAATTACCCTCTGTCTCTGTTTCTGTCAGTCTCTGTCTCTGTCTCTCTCTCTCCTCCCTCCTCCCACCTCTAGTGAATAAATCTAAATAATACTAGTGATTCTCATCTCTGAAGGACCTGGTTAATAGAAATCATTTTATAAGTAATGTGTCAGCCTTTGCAGAGAAGACTGTAGAGAAATTAGAAATTGTGGAGATTGGGATATATATATTTTTTTGAGAAATGTATCAAATAAATAGAACATCACAGAGTTATTGTGTGTTTTAGGACTTAAATTATGGATAATAATATTTAAGTTGAAGATACATTTGGGGTGAAAATGGACAATTGAGGCTCTTAAACTTTTGAGAGACTTTTTTTCCTTAGCATCTTAAATTTTACTTCCTCAGTAAGTTCAGAGAAAGATCATATAATGATTGCTTTTTAACACATCTGACTTGTAAGGGTCTGCGCTGGCCACCGTGGAGTTTTCAGACTGAACTAGAGAAGACTAGGAGACTCATGACATGTTTAAACTACTTGAGTAGATATTAATAATAAATTAGCATTTTTCTTTTAGCAGCTATTATAGGACAGAAACTCTGGTAAGAATTTTTCTTGTGTCATTTAATTTTCATATTCTACTCAATTATTCATTGAATAAACATTTATGGAACATTTATTATGTGTCAGACACTGATGTATTTTATATATACCATGCCATTTATTTTCTATAAGAATCCTAAGAGATAGTGGCAGGTACTACTATTGTTCTCATTGTTTTTATGAGGAAACTGAGGAACAGAGAGGCTCAATAACTTGTTTAAGTCACACAGCTGGTTAGTAATAGAGCTATTTTGTTTCCTAAACATGAGTTCTTACCAATGCACAGTCTGGTTAAAAGACGAACAGTTAGATGGGTAGTCAGACCTTGCTAATGACAGGAAGCTGGCAGATCCTGTCAGAGCCTGGGTTTTTACAAAGAAACACTGAAATTGTAACTGGATAGGTGTTCAAATCCTAGAATTCTTCTTGGTGTTTGTAAAAGCCTCAGTTAAAAGACTTCTTAGAATTTCAGCATCCTCCTTTGAATTAGGAATAATAAAATCTCTCCCCCAATGTCACTGTAAAAATAAATTTGACAACTTTCAGAAGTACCTTCTTCCTTTTGGGTATTCAGCCCACCTTGGACATGCCCAGAAGTGGACCATTTGGTGCACTGGTTAGGGACAGCTACACAAGCCATATCGCCTATATTTAAGGCTGTTACCCTACATGAGAGCATATGATCTTGGACAAATAACTTTATCTCACTTAACTTATGTGTCATTAGACTTCATACGATCATTATGAGATTAAGTAGGTTAAAATGTATAGAACAGTGCGTGCATACTCCATAGCAAGCTTCTAAGAGTCTTGGGTGTTACTGTTCCATTGTGTGCTGTAGTTCATCTACAACGATGAAACAGGATACTTACAAAGTGAGCACTTTAGGTCCGTTTAGAGTCCCTGCTTATTTACCAAGGAACAGTGAACAAGCACAGCCTAAGATATAGGAGTTGCATTTACATGGCCGCTACTGATGTTGTAAGAGTTCTTGGCATCTCTATCTCTGTCGTTCGCTTACCTGCGAAAGGGGGTTGGGAGAGTAAACTTGAGAGGATAAGTGTTGGAGCATGGAGTGCATTTGCATTCTGGATAAACTCCCTTTAGGAAGGTGCTGTGGGGCCACCACTGGTCAGTTTGCTGGACAAAGCCTTAGAATGGCATTTGTTTTATGTCTGCATGTGCCTGGGTCCTGTCCTCAAAGCTGTTTCCCATTTATTTCCTGTTTAGAAACGATTGCTGTATCGCGCCACCTTTTCCTTGGACCTTTTCTGTAACAGCAGAAGTTTGTGGGAACTTTGGCGTACCCATCACTTCTTCAGAGGTAATGCATTCTAACTTACATATCTTACCCACCTTCAAAGAGTAGGACTACAATGAAGATGTTTAATTTTAAAGATATATTGCTGAAATGAACTCTATGATGGAGAATTCTTTAGGATCTTGTGCTTTATTGGGCTTATTCAACATCATTTACTTTTACAAAACTTCATGTGAAACTTCCAAGAATAGATAGTATGGATTTGGAGGCATTTTTTTTAGCTTATTCAAAACAGAAACAAAAAGAAAAAAGTATTTGTTCATGTCATTCAGAAATGTCTTAATAAGAAAGAACATTAAGATGATACCATATTTTGTGTATGGGGCTTTGTGATTTTCAAAGCACTTTAACATGCATTTTCTTCTGTGTGCCTTTAGTGACCCTATGAGGTGGGAAAGGTTTTATGATCATCTTTCTTCTACAGATGCTACAAATGAGGCTAAGAGTGGTGAAGTGAGTTTTCTACAGAAGTAATGGATTCAGGCCCAGAACATTTAACTTGGGGGTGCTTTCTCCTTTACCACCCCGATTGGAGTGTAATGAGGTGGTTCTTACAAGTACTACCCAGGTTATACAGACTTAAAAATGCTTGCTTTTATTTTCCTTCTTAAATTGTTTAAAAGCAGCTATCTTTTGACATTAACTCATTTCTACCAAAGTATAAACAGCCACGAATCTCTAGAATTTACTGTTAAACCAACGTGTTTGTCAAACACTCAAAATGTCAAAGTATTTCCTGAAGCTTGCTTTAATGAACAGAGAGGTGAAGGTAACATTCCTTTTTTGCATGAGGTAATTAGGAAACAGGATGTTTTAAACTTGCTACATGAGTTTAGAGAGAGGCACTTGTACTGTTGCAAAGACTGGATGGGCACATTACTGCAAGCCTCAGCTGGCAGAAATGTTGAGGGAAAGAAGTTCTGGTTAAGCGTGTTAGCTATTTTAAGTTTGCTCAAGAATGTAATCTGTTTCATAAGCTGAATCCAGGGAGGTCTTTATCCCTACACACCAAAAACAAAACAAAACAAAACAAAAAAAAAAACCCCAAAACAAAAACATCCAAAACAATAAGAACAACAAAAACCCCAAACCGAAGCATCACTTAACCATCTAGTTCCAACTACACAGTCCCTTTATGTGAGAGCCTGGGTGCATCCTCAGAATACAGAGGAGAGGAATTGAAGAATCTCTGGAGCTTCTTAATGACTTAGCGTCTGCACTGTCCTTGCTCATAAGATAGAAAGGATTGAATTCTCTTTAGCAAATGTCTTTGGGTCCCTCTGATACCTGGCACCAAATAAGCCTGGTGCTGTGATAGCCTCCTGTGCCAGTGTACAGGTTAGCTGACAGATGTTTTAGAAACTTCTGTCCTCCTTGAATGTTACATGGTTCTGAGGTGGTAACATCTGAGTGCCCTGCCAGCTTCCTGACAGTCAGTGTCTTGAGAAGCCTGCCTTGGAAGGAGGCAGAATGTGTTTCTCTTTACATGGCTCACTTCCTGAAGCCCCGTGCTTTCCATTGTCAATGGTTTCCTTTGAAGTCTGCATCGACTGGTAATGTTATTAGTGACTTAGGCCCCAGACCCAGATCACCTTGTATATTTTAGGCTGTATAGCTCTGAGTTCTCTATACCCATGGGACTCTACATACGATCTCTCTCTGACGTGTAATAATTAGCTCCACCTCCACAAACAAGATTAGAAATGAAATCACATATGTGGTAGGTGAGCTGCAGAAAGTGGCAGATTCTCTTGAGTATCCATCACACCCTTAATTCTACTTACTCTGGCATTTGACTTCTTCTGTGTGTCTCTTGTGCTGCATTTTGAACTCCTAGAAGACAGGTGTCACGTATCAATCACCAGGTGGTGCCTGGCCCATCGTAGACACTTCTTGTTAGGTAGTTGAATTTCATGTGTTAAGAAGCTGAGAAGGTAGTTTTCCTATACAGAGAGGTGGTTGTGAATGTTGCTCCTTCAGTGTTTTTAGGCTCTTACCACCCATAACACTGTTCCCATAGCTTGTCCCTTGGGAAACTCACAGTCTGGCTACATCGTGTCAGTGAAAGCTCTCTGAAGTGGAAACGGTGTGCTCATGAACCACCTGGATGAGGTGCCACCTCCTCCCACAGGAGAGAAGACCTTCACACCCCTCTCCGTCTTCACCTGTATAGTGAGATCTTCACGAACAGATCCTTGATGGGATAAACAAAAGATTTGTCAAACTGAACACTAAGTAACTTGGTGTCTTGTAGATAAGAGGTTGTTTTATTTTTAAAAAGCGAAGTGCTTCATGGGTAAGAAAAGTGCATATCCTTGAAGTGGAATATTGCTCAGTAATGAAAAGGAATTAAATACTGACATATGCTACCACTTGGAATAAACTAATACACATAGCAAGTAAGAGAAGCTGGTCACATAAGGCCACATGTTGTATGACTCCATTTGCATGAAAAGTCTGCAGTGGGCAAATCTGTGGCCTATAGAGACAGACAATAAAATAGTGACTGCTCACTCTGTTGGGGTTGGAGAGTAACTGCTAGGGGTATGAGTTTCTTTGGGGAATGCAGAAAACGTTTTTGTATTAGATTGTGTTGCTAGTTGTATAGCTCTGTGAGTACGCAAAAATGATTTAAACTTTAGGTGAATTCTATTGTATATGAATTATATCTCAATAAAACAATAAAAACATAGATTGCCCTTTAATTTGTAGTGTGGCTGGAATAGCACATCAGTAGTAAAGTGCTTGCCAAAGCCTAGCATGTGTAAGGCCCCAAGTCTGATTCCCAGGATTAAACAAAGCAAAACAATGTAAACTGGGTGGAGTAGTGGATACAAGTAATCCCAGCACTTGGGAGGATGAGGCAGGAGAATTGCAGAGAGTTTGAGACCAGCCTGGGCTCCTATAGAAAGGCTCTTAGTAAACAAACAAACAAACATACAAAAAAACTCAACAACCCCAAAAGTGAAATATGTCTTTGAAAGTTGCTTTAGGAAATCAAAATAGTTTATATCAATTTTTTTATTTAGCCAAATTTTAACTCATCTTGTTTTGTTTTGGGCAAAGTAGTTATATGTACATAACAAGGAAGAACAAAAGGAAAAATTGATAATATAACCGGAGCCACTAAATTTGAAATATTTTGCCCCTCTAGATTTATGCATAATCTTCTAGGAGCTTTAAAAATTTGTACTTCCTGAAATGTTGATTAGTGAGATATCCGATAAGAAATAACAGAGTACTGACAGCCCTGATTGCATAAATAGGCGTTTGGGATTGTGTTCATGGTTTGCCTGTCAGCACAAGAGAAATGTGTGATTATGTTGAATGATGGTTAATTTCCTTATCCATCCATTTAAAAAATAAAGATATATGGCAGGAAGACAGGTGCCCATGGAAGAAACAGCAGACCTGCTGCTTTCATAATAAACTCCAGAGAGGAGCTAGAAGGAACACATTTGTATTACAAATTGGCATTTGAGTTCTGACTGATTTCTGGCCATCACTCATGAATTCAAGAACTTTGGCTAGTGCTTCATGGAGTATTTTTCATTTACTCTTGCTTTGGGTTTGAGTCTGCCCAGCTTTTCCTCTCCTTCCAGGTCATTGTCCCACCCCATGTGACTGACATATTGTGCTCCAAGAGTTCAAGGAGCACTCAGTGGCCTGTGATAGAGGCAGGAGGGGAGTTGTGCTTTCTAGCTTTGCACTGTGAACAGTTCATACACAAACAGTTCTCTTTGATTAAGTATCTGGTGAAACCAATTCACATGAACTCCAATTAAACTTTAATGAACAAGTGGGTGTATTAATATCAGCTGAGTAATGTAGGCAGCACAGATTCCAGTAAGTGACTCACTTCTCTGAGCAGCTCATTCCCCATGCACGGTTAGAGTTACTAGAAAGCTTCCAGATGTATTTGAGTGGATCTGGTCTGGGCCTTGTAATTCTAGTGATCCTTGGGGCTTGTTATTCATCTAGTGAAGAAACCACAGTCATCTGGACCTCTATTTTCAAAGCAAGGGTTGAGGATGGGAAGACTTGTCCACATTGAGCAGTTTAGGTCTCTTTTGAAACAGTGATATTTGGACTTTTATTTTTTTTCCACCTTCCTGGTGTTTGTTTTGTTTTTCTCAAACTGGGAATTCTTTCTTCTTCTTCTTCTTTTTTTTTTTTTTTTTTT